ACAAGCGCAACACCAATCAAGACAATAATTATCAGACTGCTCGTTCTTATTTCCTCGCGTGTTATCTACATGTCTGTTCCAAAGCCTCGAGACCCGCCCATTAGTCTTCGATCATAACCCCATACCCACCTTGATGATATATCTCGCTTGCCTTCCACGTGTGCTTGGCGCAGCCTCTAAAACAAGGAAGGAGAGGAGGGAAGGGATAACGAGAGGAGAGACGGACGAAGTAGACTCGAACGATCGCGCGATATCAAAGTGAACCGTTAAACATCCAGAGCAAGCATGTGATTCCTGAGCGCTGGGGGCGCAACGTATCAAACAATGAAAATAATTACAACACGCGAGAGCGCGATTCGTGCATACAGTGTGTGTGTGTGTGTGAAGCCCCGCGCGAGAGCCCGATTGTGAATTCATCCTACCAGCCCTTCGGGCTAAGGTGATCTAGCGAGTTCTTTCTCCCCCTCATCCAAAAACCATCTTACCTTCGGGGGGGGTCTCCTCCCCCTCCCCTCCCTGAGGTTTTTGCGGGGATCGCGCAGTGTCAGGGAGCCCAAGATGGCCCAGGGGATGGCCCGAAAAAGGCTTCCGATGCAGGGCTCAAAAGAATCGGCCATGGCTCAAGGTAGCTTCGGGCACAGCTCCCAGTGGCCCGACAAGGGCCACAAGACGGTTCCCAGTGCTGTCGGAGCCTTCTCAGGACCCCCTCGGCGGGGCAGGGCAGAAAAGACGAGACGGAGAGAGAGAGAGAGAGAGAGAGAGAAAGAGAGAAAGAGAGAGAGAGAGAGAGAGAGAAAAAAAAAAACTCCTCCTCCTCCTCCTCCTCCTCCTGCTCCTCCTCCTCCTTCTCCTCCTCCTCCTCCTCCTTCCTCCTCCTCCTCCTCCTCCTCCTACTCCTCCTCCTCAGCCTCCTCCTGGGTCTCATCCAGAGTCTCCCCCTCCTCCTCCCCCTCCTCCTTCTCATCCTCCTCCTCCGCCTCAGGACCCCCTCGCGAGGCCCAAATTCTTCAAGCCCCAACTTGAGATCACTAAGCTGTGCCTCCTCGCCTGCCTCTTCGCTTCCGGTACGCAGTTTGAGGCCTCAGGATGGCCCCGCGGTAGCCTGAAGTCGGGCGTGTCCTACTACAGGGGGAGCTTGGGCCAAAAATTTAAAATAATCCAAACATATCCCAAAATAGCCGACAAAATGCTCAAACATAGTCACCTGACTATTTTTGACAGGCCCGACTTAAAGGCAACCCAGTGAAACCCCAAGATAAGCCCAAGAGGTCCCCCAAGCGGCCCCAAGAGTGCCCTCTTAAGCGCCCCAAGGGGGGGGGGCATTTGGGACCCCCCCGTCTTGTTCGATGGCCTCCATGATGGCCCCAAGATGCCCTCCAGGGCTCCCAAGGGGCCCCCAAGAGGCTCCAAGAGGGCCCCCAAACGGCCCCCAGACCCTCCAAAAGAAGCCCCAGAGGACCCGAATATCCCCCCTAAAGAGCCCCAAGAGGTTGATTCTGAGGGCTCTGTCCTCATCCTTGTTGTCCTCCTCGTCCTCGTCCTCGTCCTCGTCCTTGCCCTCATCGTCTTCCGTTTCCTCATCTTCCACGTCGTTGTGGTGGTCGTCGTCGTCGTTTTCCTCCTTCTCCTTCTCCTCCTCCTTCTCGTTCCACCTCTTTCTCCTTCCTCCTCAACCACGTGGGCCCAGGGGATGGCCCGAAGAGGCCCTCCAAGGCCACCACCTTCATCCCAAATATCGCTGCGGCGACCCTGGTTGCCCGCTTTGTTTCACGACATGTGTCTCTTCGTGCCTTTTCCAGTCAACTCTCATGGGCAGGGTTTTCGAATGGGCTGATGGGGATACTTTTTTGGTCGGCGGCTCCGAGGCAGCGGTCAGGGAGCGGAAGGCGTCGTCTGGGCCAGCCGGCGAGGCCAATTAGCTACAACAGGCAACGCACCTGCAATACAATTTCGCAAAGAATGCGAGGTGTGCACATGCACTGAGCACAATGCTCCGCATTAAGGCGAACGCACCAGGCGCCAGCCACACCGAAGCGAAGCAGACCGTAGTGCAGTGCAACGGAGAAATCGCCCTGTCGGCGCCAAGCTCCGAACCGCTCACCTAGCTGAAAGCGGGCAGGAGGAACCGAAGCGACACGCTGAAGGCTGAACCAGTCAGCGCGAAGTCCGTACCACCGCCGTACGCGGGGTCGGCTAAGACAGGGGCAGAGGAAAGGCAGGGACCTACAGAGCTCTCACTCCACGATCCACACCGCTGCCCGGGGGGGGCCGGTGTGTCAGCCATCGTTCCGAAACCAGTCACAGGCCAGGAAGCAACGATGAAAGAGGACACGCAGGCCCAAGCGCCAGTACTGCCGCCTAGCGGGTAACGGCCGAAGGTCGCCGAGGTACGCTGCAGCCGCGGCCAGCTCGTAGGCGCTGGGGCGCAGTCAGGGCTGAATCTGACCACACAGAGAGCCAGGGGACGGCAAGTATCATCCGAGCACTCACTCCACAGACCGCACAGCTGCCCGGGGGGGGGCCGGTGTGTCGTTCATCGGCTGATGGGGATACGCGAAGCGTGAAGAATGGTGAAGAATCATGCGGTGGGGGCCGTTGAATGTTCGCGCCTACTGAAAATTTATAGTTGACCCCCCCTGCGCGGTGCCCATTCTGTTCCTTCCGACTTGCACCCTTCTTCTGCAGGGGACAATCTTGAGACTCAGAGTGGGTTTTTGGCCCCTGGTTTACAACAATGGCTCCCGCCCGATACATTTTTCAATGTTTGTTCACAATCGCACTGTCGCGCAGGACTTCGCAACTTACGGAGGCGCCGCGCCGCGCTAAGGAGTGATGTGCTCGAGAATCGCGCTATAACGCTATCCTTACTTGGGCTTGCTCGGGAACTCCACGCGATTTATTTTTGGGAATCGCGATGCACACAAAACTGACTCTTCGACGACCCGTCCGCTCGACCCAGCCGTGTGGGCCCACCCGCCCGACCCGCCCGGCAGGGCCCGCCCGCCCGACCCGCACGTCTGGTTCTGCTGCTTGTATGCCTGCTCTGAACCCCCTCCCACTAATCTCTACCGTGCTCTGTCCTTCTCCATCCCGCTCTCCCGTCCCTCCCCCTCCCATTGCCCCCGGCTTCAGAAGCTGCGTGAACTGCACTTGGCAGTGAAGGGAGATACACCTCCAGTGGGGCAACGATCGAAGACAAAGAGGGCGGCGATCGAAGGTTTGGAATACACGTGTTGAAAAGGCACTCGACATGCTAAGAGCGATCAATTTGGAGTCCCGAAACGGTGCGGTGACGGACCGTGCGGTGCCCTCGAAATCCCCCAAGATCTCACCGCACGGTCCGTCACCGCACGGTCTTGGGAACCCAGAGGCCCCTGTCGCCCGAGACGTCCTCGGGGAGGGACTCAAATCCCAAAACCGTGCGGTGACCCCGAATCCCCACGGACTCACCGCACGGTGTGGTCACCACCCCGTTTGGGGACCCCCGAACTTCAACCTGAGTTGTTGTAAACCGGAGGCCAGCAACTCATGAGGGCAAGAAGAGCCGCCACCACCAGATCTTCATATACTTTCGCTCCCCAAAGAAACCCTTTCAAGCTGGTGGTGGAGGTCCTTGGCAAGCAACACAAGTATGGGCCTCCACGGAGGAACAAGTCAAACACAAAAACATGCTGCAAGCCCAAGCATGGGCCTCCACGGAGGAACAAGTCAAACACAAAAAAAAGTATTGGCCTCCACGGAGGAACAAGTCAAACACAACAACAGTATGGGCCTTCCAAGTATGGTCCTCGACAAGCAACACAAAAACATGCTGCAAGCCCACGGAGGAGCAAGTCAGTTAAAAAACACAATGATCACCAAAAGAGGGGCATCGACAACATGAGTTTCTTCACTCAAACTGAATATCAACAACATCCACTGAAACAGCAACAACTTCAACAACAACCACCACAACAACATCATCAATCAAAGCAATAGCGCCAACACTAACAACAACAAACCAACCAACCATCCACAACAACAAAAGCAACAACAACAACACCAACAACAGCAACAACAACAGCAACAACAACAACACCAGTAACATCAACACCAACAGCGCCATCAACACCACCAACAACACCAGCACCGCCAACAACAACACACATACCAACAACAACAGCAGCAGCAAAAACAACTGTACGTATAGCAGCAACAATAAGCATGCGAATCATAACAACAACACCATCACCAACACCAGTAATAACAGCGCCCAAACCAACACCAACACCAACACTGACACCATCAACAGCAGCACACACAACAGCAGCAACAACAACAACAACATCAATAACAATAGGAACAACAACAGCAAGAACAACGATCATCATCCGCGCCGCGGAATCTCACTTCGGCAACGCATCCAAGAAAAGAGCCCCGATACGCAACACGCAACACGTAGCGTGTTGACACGGCGCTCAACACGTAGCTTGAATGTGTAGGTCTTGCGCGACAGGTTCGCCAAAACGTTGGCCATCACGTTCGTCATACATGATGAACAAGGTACAGGTTGCGTTTCAACACGTGCGTATCAGGATCACTAAGACTAAGGCACATTGCAAGAACTTGCGGCCCAATTTTGAGAAATCCTGCCTTCGGCTACACGTAGTGGTGACCCTGGGCAACAGTGACCTTTGGTGCGCGGCTCGAAGGGGCCGCGCGATGGCCAACTGCAAACGCGCAAGCCAGTGCTGGAGTAGTCCTTGTGGGCCCGCACCAAAGGTCACTTAGGTGAAAGGTCCCTCATACGCGCAGCCGATGTTGGGCGTCGCTTACAGGGGGGGCGATGAATTGGGAGGGGGGGACAGGTGCACTTCTCGGACCCTGAAGGCCCCCTTCTGGAGCCCTTCAAGCTTTATGGCCCCTTCAGGAGCCCTGAAGGGCCCCTTTTCTGCAGCCCTCGCTGATGGATCGCCCACCTCCCCGCCAATTTCACGACCCCAAAAGCAATGTCCGCGCACCTCCCGCCCGGACAGCAGCCGCACCACCACGCTGGAGCGACCTCCCGCCGGCAGCGCCCCCGAGCGCGGCTCCGCGCCGCCGGGCGCGCTGGGGGACGGGCTCCTCCCCGTGGCACCCGCGCGCGGGCGGCTGCGCGAGCGCCCGCCGTGGTCGCCTCGTCCTCCTCGTCCTCGTCGTCGTCTTCCTCCTCCTCCTCCTCCTCCTCCTCCTCCTCGTCGGCACCCTCGTACCTGGTTCTCGTTCGCGTCATGCTCCTCCCCGTCCTCTTCCTCATCATCCTCCTCCTCGTGCCCGTGCTCCTCCTCGTGCAACTCCTCCTGCTCCCTGCCATCCTCGTGCGAGGTGCTCCCTCAACTCCCCCTTCTCCTCCTCGAGCTCGTGCTTGTGCTCGTGATCTTCCTCCTCCTCCTCCTCCTCCTCCTCCTCCTCTTCCTCCTCCTCCCCTTCCTCCTCCTCCTCCTCATGCCCGTCCTCCTCCTCCTCCTCCTCTCCTCCTCTCCTCCTCCCCCTCCTCCTCCTCCTCATGCCTCCTCCTCTCCTCCTCCTCCTCGATCCTTCTCCTCGATCCTCCTCCTCGATCCTCCTCCTCCTCCTCCTCGATCCTCCTCCTCCTCCTCCTCCTCTTCCTCCTCCTCGATCCTCCTCCTCCTCCTCCTCCTCCTCGATCCTTCTCCTCGATCCTCCTCCTCCCGCCCGCGAGCGCCCGCCGTGGCGAGGGCCGCCGCGCCAGCCCCCCGCTGCACAGGGCGGCGCGCGCGCGGCCGCGGGCGGCCCCCCGGCGGCGCGCCGTGGCGCCGGCGGCCCTGCGGAGGGCCGCGGCCACGGCGAGGCCCTGGGTGGGCGGCGAGCGAGGTGGAGGGGGAGGAGGAGGAGGGGGAGGGGGAGGAAGAGGAGGGGGAGAGGAGGAGGAGGAGGAGGGAGGAGGATGAGGATGAGGAGGAGGAGGAGGAAGAGGAGGAGGAGGAGGAGGAGGATCGAGGAGGAGGAGGATGGTGACGACGACGAGGAGGAGATCGACGAGAAGGGGGAGGAGGAGGAGGAGGAGGAGGAGGAGGAGGAGGAGGAGGAGGAGGAGGAGGAGGAGGATGGTGACGACGACGAGGAGATCGACGAGAAGGAGGAGGAGGAGGCCCTTTCAGAATGCGACGGGACCTTCTCAGAAGCCCTCGGGTCTTCTGGGAAGTCTGTTGTGTCTCCGGGGAAAACTCAGCAAACTCCTCAGAGGGCCGGGGGACCGACATGCCTTCTGAGAAGCCTTCTCCTTCTCACTTTCCCTCTGGGCTCGCCGCCGACTGGGAGGAGCGCGCCGTCGTGATGCGATTGCCTCGCGGCTGTCGTGATCAATGCCGTGAGCGATGTCATGATGTCGTCCTTCTTCCCTCCCCAATCCTGCTCCTCCTCCTCCACATCCCCCTCCCCACTCGTCCTTCACCTCCCCCTCCTCCTCCTTTTGCTCCTCGTCGACCTCCTCCTCCTCGTCGTCGTCGTCCTCCTCCTCCTCCTCCTGCTCCTCCTCCTCCTCCTCCTCCTGCCTCCCTCCCTCCCTCCCTCCTCCTCCCCGCACGCGCCCGCCAGGGGGTTTGGCGGGTTGCGGCAATCAGAGGCTTGTTTTCCCGTCGGTCTGAGTCAGGGGCCGCGGCTCGAAGGCCCGAGGGGGTTTGAGCGAGGTCTCTATGACTGCTGCGTGATGAGGCCACATCTACATCGCAGAGCGGGGGGAAGGCATGGGAAGGGGCATGCCGCTCCTTGACACAAACCATGGCTCGATCTGTGGTTGTGGCCGCCAAATCGCTGCGTCGCCCTCCAAAACCGACTCGGAGCTTTGGTTCGAAGCCGGGTATCTCGCAGCGAGCTCAGGATGCGTTCCAGCAGCTCTGTAGCCTGCAAGGGAAAGATGGGAGGTCGTGGGGGAAACTCGCATGTCCGCCAACGTGCCCCCTGGCACGTGGTGGCGTGGAGGAATTGCAAGGGCCGCCTGGTAGGGCTTTTGTAATGGTGAAGGGCCACACCCCTCGACTCGCAGACTGCTGCGTGCATACCGCCTACTCACCGAGGCCCCTTCCCTCGCGCCCGCTCGAGGATGGTGCACTTCTCCAGAGTGGCAACCAATACCCCAAACCCCCTTTCCACACGTGCCCGCTCGAAGATGCTGCACTTCCCGCATGGCAGCTGATGCCTGAACCCCGCTTCCACGCGTGCCCGCTCGAGGATGGTGCACCTCCCGCATGGCAGATAGTGCCCGAGCCCTCATTCCGTGCGCGCCCGCTCGAGGATTGTGCACTTCGCGCAGGGCTGCGAACTCCGAATTAGGCCCCTCCTCCCACGCGCACGCGTTCGAGGATCGTGTACTTCCCGCGCTCCCAGGCGCTGCCCCCCCACTGCTCCAGGGCCTCCCAAGCCACGATCCCTCGCTGAAAACGAAGGATACCAATCGGTCGGAAGAAGTAGGTAGAAACAGCGTTGAAAGTAGATTGGGTCTCCGTCTGCCACCTTGGGACGACGGACAACGTGAAACCACTCGATCCTTGAAGTAGGAAGGCGCTGAAAGTAGATTGGAACCTGGGAACCCAAGAATACCTACATTCAACGACCGATGGGTATGCGTCCCGAGCTTCCAAGACGGCCCGCGCGGGCAACCACGGACACCAGGATGGCGCAAGATGCCTCAACGACGGTCCAAGATGGCGCCACAGAGCCGAACATTGCGTCAAGAGGGCCGGAACGGGCCACAAGAAGATTTCAAACAGGGTCCGAGGAAGCCAAAGTCATGAATGCCCCTTGGGCTTTTGCACGAGGTTCGCAGTCTCGCCTTTTCGGGCTGCCGAGAAGTCAGAACAGCCCAAGACGGTCCCAAAGTCGCCCCAACAGGGCCTCCCGGGGGGACTCGAGACAACCGCAGAAGGCCCTGCGACGGCCAAAGACGGCGCCGAGAAGGCCCAACGACGACACCCCGACACCCACCACACGGCCAAAGGAGCCCAAAGACGGCCCAAGAGAGCCCCAAAGCCGGCGCGAGAGAGCCCAAAGACGGCCCAAGAGGGCCTCAAAGACCCACAAGACTGTCCCACAGGAGGCCAAGACAGCCCCAAGACAGCCAACACGAGTTTCATCATCATCATCATCATCATCATCATCATCATCATCATCATCATCAGCATCATCAGCATCATCAGCATCATCATCATCATCACCCTCTTCCTCCTCCCCCATCCTCCTTCTCCTCCTCTTTCTCCCTCGTCATCGCCATCGTCATCGTCATCGTCGTCATCGTACTCGTCATCATCGTCATCATTATCAGCACCATCCACATTATCATACTTATCATCATATTCAGCATAATCAGCATCATCATCATCATCATCAGCATCATCCTCGTCTTCATTATCATCGTCATCACCATCATCATCATCAGCACCATCGTCGTCATCACCATCATCACCCTGATATCAATATCCTCCTCCCCCTCATCATCACAACTATCATCAGCATCTTCTTCATCATCAGCATCATCATCATCATCAGCACCATCATCAGTATAAGCATCGTTTGCAAACTCAGCACCCTTACGGTCATCATAACCACAGTCATAATCGTAGTCGTCATCGTAATCGTCATCATCATCATCATCAACATCACTGCAACCATTCTCGTCATCATCATAATCAACATCAACAGCCTTAGCATCATCATTGTCATCATCGACACCATCATCATCATCAGCATCATCATCATCATCAGCAGCATTGTCTTCATCATCATCACCATCAACATCACCATCATCAATAACAACGTCATCATCATCACCATCATAACCATCATCAACAACAGCGTCATCATCATCATCATCACCATCAGCATGAGCAGCATTATCATTAGTATCATCATCAGCATCAGCATCATCATCCTCATCATCCACATCCTCAACCTCATCCTTATCCTCATGGCCACCATCCCCACCACCCTCATAATCTCCATCACCACCATCACGGCTCCCCCAAGCCTGGAGCAACGAGGTGCCACGCGTGACGGCCTCCCGCCTCGAACAGTCGCACGGTGGCGGGCCATGCCGCAGGCAGCTGAATATACACTAAGGCATCTAGGATCTGGGCCCTGTCCCACGGGGGCTTCGCAGAAACGCCACAGGACAACTTATGGTCAATGATGTTCTGGCCTGTTCTCCAGGCGACTGGTGCCAACGCACTTTCTCCACCAGCGAGCAGCGACTCGGGGCAACTGCAAAGCGAATGGGCCACTCTGTAAGAGCGGGGAGCAAGCCAGACGAGGCGGCCGCAGATGGGGCGGAGGGGCGGAGGGCACTCAGGTGTGGAAGAGTTCCACCCCGAGCGCGCGCTGGTGCGGCCAGCAGCGGCAGCGGGGACCGCGGCAGCAGCCGAGCCGCGACGTGTGAACACACACACATATATATATATATATATATATATATACGCATAAGACATTGATATATATATATATACATACATACATACATACATACATACATACATACACAGAATCACTAAGTACATCTCTCTTCATTTTTGAATATCTATTATACTACATAATACAGAGCGTTTGGGCCACAATTCGCCACCAATGGACAAACGGAACACAATACTGTGGACACGCGCGCTGGCCCGGACGTACCGCTGCTACCACGGCGTCTTGCTCCACGGAGGCCCGCAGGGTCGCGCTGGGCCCCGCCCACGCCCGCGGCGAGAGGTGCGACGGAATCAGGACGAGGGCAAATTCGGACGGGGATCGCGCAGTTGCGGAAGGCGTCGCGGGACGGGAACACAATCGTTCAGCAGGGACCGACCGTCCTGGCATTCCTATAGGCCTGCCAAGACATGTACTTAGAACTTAACTTTTTTGAATGACAAAACAATCATGCTCTTAGAACGTAAGCCCGACGTGTAAAGACAAGACAGCCCTGGCCAGATATGTTCTAGGAAGATCTCGCGCAGACCACAAAAGGTTCTTAGAACATCCTCTCGTGGGCCCATAGGCGAGCCAGGACGCTTCGCTACAGTGCGGGCGCGG